TACAGGGCTCCTGCAATGGACTGGTACCACAGTGGCTGGATCGACGACTGTCACTTTCACTACCCACTGAGTCCCTGTGACTGGGGGACATCATGGCCCCTGAGAGAGATTCTCCCCAATCTGCCATGCCAGCAACTTCCCCTGACCGTACTGGACTTTGGGGTATAAGGTCTGCTGGGCCGATGGGAAAATAAATATGGATGTTACCTGTAGAAACTGGGCGTGGTTTGCGTTTTTGTGCACGGGGGCTAATGCTGGACTGTGGACTGGGGAGACGAGCATACCTGTCGGGTAGACTAGGTGAGAGGCAGCCAGACTGTTGAGGACTAGGGTCGCACAGAGTCTTATACTGGATTTGGGTCTGAGATTGGCCAATAGGGCTATGGTGCAGACTGAATCCAAACTCAAAACCTGTGTCCCCCATGGGACTGCAGCTCTTCTTCTCCTTGTCAGAGATAGTCTCCGGCAGGGGAGTCCTGGTGACTGTGTGGACAACGTTTGACTCCTGCTGAGTCTGCTCTCTCTTCACATACTCCCTTGATCTCTTAAGAAGGCTGTCCAAACTAATATCCTCCTCCTCCTCTTCCTCCTCCTCCTCCTCCTCCTCCTCCTCACTCTTCTCTTCCCTCTTCACCATCACTTCCTCCACTGCCTTGAAGCCGTTGAGGATGGGGGTCTCACAGCATGGCTGTTCATTTGTCTGAAGCCCAAATCCAGGGTCTCTGGGAAGTCCAGGAGAGTCAGTGACCAGGGTGTAGCCGCTGACTGTCGCAGATTTAGAAACTGGCATTTCAACATCTTCACTTGGTACGTTATGTGCCTGTGCAGAGACAATAAGTCATGATGACCAATCGTCAAATAATTGATGAAATCAAAAGCAACCATGAAGGATGACCAGCTGATGGAATTAAATGCCCCAAACCGCATTGGTTTAAAGTCGTTTATTTATCACTGACATAAAAACAATTAAATGTAAAGAAATATCAGATAGTCCAGTGTTGGTTCTCAACCAAATGTCAGATGTCTAAACTGAAAAAGTCCCTTGTCAAGTATGTTATCCAAATTTACACTTTAGAATCCACCTGAAACTCTTTTAGTGACACACTTGATATGAATCCAGATCTCCTAATAAATAGCCCAGTCTGGATTGTTGAGGCAGTTGAAACCATCAGGTAAAAATAGCACAGCCTACCAGAGACAGTGTTGAGTCAGACAACCTGTATCCAAGTCTGCAAATGTCTCAAGAGATTCTGGGACAGACTGTAATTTAGTTTTTGTGCTACATCGTGGGACTGACACAGAGTCCTATTTCACATATGGGCATATTTAAGAAATTTAGATGAAGTGTGTTCATGAAATAAACAAAGTGGCTTCATGTTTAATGTTCTGAACAGAGAGTGGCAAAATCTATATTGTATGATTTTTGTAAGCATTTGGATGTGGCATGGATTTTGTTATTTAACTTTTGTTATTTAACTTAGCCTATTCAGTGCACACTGTACACAATATCACATTCATTTCACAAAACATCTTCCATAGTCCTTTTCCCACTGAATCCTGTTACAGAAAACACCCAGGTCTGTAACCAGGACCATACTGTGCTACTGACCTGAGCTTGGTCCAGTATGCACTGAACCCGGGCCATAAGGTTCTTCTTCTGCCTGTTCTGCCTGTCCACCTCCAGCTGGACCGCCTTCTGTCTGTGGTCACGCATCTCACTACGCTGCTCTGCACTCAACTGGAAAAAGAAAATACACACAAACACATGAGGAAAGATAATTCAATAACTCGTTATGATAAGGTTTCCAATACGCTGATAACACAATCACTCTTCTTCCACTATACGTAGGTTTGTGTCTCCTTTGTTTGAATCCTCAGCCTCACATTAGCCTCTCCATCATGTGGCTATTCCTGAGAACTTGTTTTGTCAGCAGTCACTAGCATATGGATTCTCCTGACTAACATCAAACAGCCTTGATGTTCCTCGTAATCAATTATGTCTCTCTTTCCCCTGCCAACTGCTGATCTAATTGGAACTACTCAGCCCGTGTGCTTCAGATATATATTATGTAGGTCTCAAAAATAAATGTGTTTTATCCTTAATGTTTACCTCTTCTTCAGACTGTGATAATGTACCTCTGTCTACATCTGTAGTTTATGTCTAAAATATGTATCACAACATCCTTCTCATTTTACTGTGACTGAACAGTGTACGCAATGTTTTCTGTTACTATGCAGCATAGATATACAAAAACACAGCCACAGTAGCACAGTGATGGATTTACAGACTTTCTAGGGAAACCGACCAAACATTGCATCATTAAAAAGCAGACGGTCAACAATATTACTTGCTCTGGATAACAAACATTGCCTGATATTAAACAGAACTGTCAGCTATTTACACTCAGGCAATAGCAAAAGCATACATTAGCTACGATTTCTGTCTACTTTTCATGAAGAAACTTTAGAAACTGTAATTATTATTATTATTACATCTTGTTTTCGTTCCCCGATACGTTCCCGTGTCTCTTTATTTCTTCCTCACCAGTGGCGAAAGCACAGCTCTTCCATGGAAGCGGATGACAGAGAGAGCCTTCAGGGACCACAGTGGCTCACAAGTCATCTTCTTGAATTTCCCCTCCTCCTGCAGTATGGCCAAACTCCGCAGACAGAACTCCTCATAGCCTTCCATCTCTGGACACCCACACATCCACACTCTGAATAGGAAACACACACCATGTAGCCTCGTCACCCAGCTGTTAAATTAAATAAGAGAGTGGGGAATTAGTCAGTGGACATGTGAGCTTTGACTGCACTGGGTGTGAATCACTATGAGGAAATCAGCTGGGATCATATGTGGAAGAGCAGGGCAGATAGCCTACAACAAAAGAGGGTCTGTCTGCCCTTAATGGTTTGATCACACTCATCACATTCCTGTCATTCCTTTCTATCAGACCTCGCTGGTGACCGATTTCCATTTCCGTGTGCCATGGAAATGCATATGGAATCGTGTGTCTTATCAATACAGTTTCCATTTGTGAAATGCCTGTGAGCAAATGGATAGGACAGACAGTCAGGTAGCGCACACAGGGCGTTAGCGCACAGCTGTATGGATGAAAACACAATTTCAATGCAATTAACGCTATTATCGTTTAATATTTACAGTTTATCCAGTAACATTACCATCCCTCGATTAGGTTTCAATTCATCCTGGGGTCCTTACGATGCTGTGAGTAACCTCGTGGTCTTCGGTTGCCTAATTACAGTAACGTTACCGCACACAGATTCATTACAGCCTAGTGACAGCGCGGTAGATGTGGGAATGGTTTCCTTTTGGTAACGTTGCCCAGCTATTACAGAGCAAGCTCGCTACTGTCGGTTTTTAAGGTTTAATCTAAATGATACTCGATTTTACGGCATCTTTAAAAAACCATGAAGATGTTTTAGTCCAGATGTGCCCCGGCAGAGTGACAGTTGATAAGGTTACACTGGTGCGTATTGCTCGATTCTTACCTTCAAAAAAGAGGGGGGGAGTGATGACTTTTCTCCTGATGACGGGAGTGTTAGACTCGCACAAATGTCGCAGGGAAACAACAATGTGCGGCTACAACATGAACCTTGTGTTTCTCCTTCAATCTCGGGTTGACCATCATCATCAGTTTCAACTCTTCCGGGCTCCAACAGCGCCTCCTGGCAACAGCGCAACGGCCGCGTTCCAATATGTTCATGTTGCTATTATTAATCACTTCGTTCCATTGTCAACAATTTTACGCACGCACCAACACTTCAATGGTTTTAGAATGTTTTATGGATTATTTTTGGTCACAAAGAGGTAGCAGAGGAAAGTAAAGGGTGAAACTGTTAGAAATATGGAACGAGATCTTTGTCGTTTACAATTACCTCATCATTTAGATCCTAAATCACCTAATTTGTTACATTTGTTGTGTGGCAATGTTATTATAAATCAATTTTGGAATGTGCACAGTTTAAGATGAAATAATGATAATTGATAGTGATGATATTTTTTACATACACTGTACCTTGAGACTGGGTCTCAAGATGAGTAGAAACATATTCCTAAATATAGGTTGTTTATTCAAGTAACCACTTACTCACCATCACACAGACAATCATAGCATTCCTGCACAGGATTACTGGTGCAGGATACACAATGCACAGAGAGCAATAGGTGGGTTTGGGGGGTCAATAAGGGCCCAGCAGCCTTCTGTGCAGGACCATGTGTCTATATCAGCCTGTGGCTCTGTTGCCATGTTGTGCTGATTTGAATTTTAAATGGTTTGTTAATTAGACCAAAAGCTCTTTTGACTCTTAATATAAGCTCAATATCTGTGACCTATTTAATTATAATATAAATGATGGTGGGTCTAAAGCTCTTTGTATTATTTTACATTGCTGAAGGCTGAGGCCATGTCAGGTATAATAAACAGCCCATGGACAATAATTGTCAGTGATGTCTTTATTTTTCTGACACTCAAAAAACACAGTATCATGACAACAAGCCATCGTACATTCAGTATGATCAAAATGAGGTTGTTGTTTTCACAACTCATCTTTTGAGTGCACAGGTGAACCTGAATGTACCGGCTGAGCAATGCGCACATGTGCCTTGTTGTCCCGAAGTAGAGCTTCAATGTCGCTTTCTGTGAAGGTGGTTTTGGAACTCTGTCACAAAAAATAAACAGTATAAATTCTCATACGAGCAGTTTAGTCTAATTAATGGGACATTAATGTTTCACAATTAGACCCATACCCTACCTCAAAAGACTGGCGTTTCACCCCTACACATGCCATGGACTGCTCATAACACAGGACTATATCCAGATGCTTTGGCTCTTCATTCACCAAAGCTTCATGGAACCGGTCGTAATGAGACTCTGGATTGGGAATTGAAAATAGATTATTAATTAGTAAGAGTGTAAAAAACATGCAAATCCACTGTTATTTCCTCCTGATCTTACCTAACAAGTGCATGCAGGAGGATGTCATTTTGTCCATAGAGACGTCATGTTTGTAGGACAACAGTTTCTCACACACACCCCCACTGATGAGGTTCTCCACTACTGTCTGTCTGCTTTCAGCTGGGGCTTCCTTCATGGCTTTCTCAATCTCTGTCAAAGGAAATAATCAAAACAAGGCAGAGATAATTCAGTGTCTATAATTTGAAACCTTTGTTATCTTGGGCTTAGACAAATATAGTTGAATTGTTCACCCTACCTTGTGCTGTTGTTAGACAACTCTCACAATAGGCGTCTGTTTAAAAGAAAAACAGTCAACAGAAACCAAGATAGCCAAACTACAAATATCCTACTATTATGACTGAGGACACCAGCAGAATTGTAGTGTTTAATTTACTTACAGCGGTCCACGTTATCAGGCTGCACAGGAAGAAGGTAGCACATACACATTAGAAAAATTATGATTTTCATCGTCAGCGACTGCAGACCAAAGACACACACAACTAACAGCTCTCTACACACTAGGAAAGACAGAACAGACAACTGTGCTCAGGCTAAATCATCTTCCCTTTCACATAATGGAGTCATGTGATCTCAAGGACAATGGGATCATATCACCATCATTCCACGAATGACAGGGGTCCAGTTTTTCAGGTTTTCTCTGGCTGCTCACAGACGCAGTCATTCCTGGTCTTTGAACTGTGATCTCAAAGTACTGTGAACTCAAAAAACACATTTTCTTGTACTTTATGGATTCACAATACAAGAGTAGACTTAAGAGATAGGCGGTATTTTTTAGAAATACAAGTCGGGAAAAGAACAGGCTTATATATACAGCTGAAAATACTGAAATACTGTAAATATTTGTATGGAAAAATATTAGTGAGCAAAGTAAATCACTGGAAATTGGTTGGAGCATGTGTTGTTGCATTGAGATATTTAGCTACTGTGCACTTAATTAGCAGACTTACAATTATGTCAAGATATCGGGGGTTTTTTCTTCGGTGCTTTCTTTGTTTGAGCTAAGGACTACTAGTTTTATCAAGCAACTTTGACCCAACTGTGAGAACTTGAGAATCAATAATATTCATATATTGTTAAAGTCCCTAAAACATTTTCTCTGTCAGGCTTCACATGAGAGACAAGTTAGAAAACAGTTAATATCTCTTCTTCTTCTTCTTCTTCTTCTTCTTCTTCTTCTTCTTCTTCTTCCTCCTCTCATCATCAGTATTACTATTGGTAAGATAAGATAAGATAATCCTTTATTAGTCCCACAGTGGGGTATATTTGTTGTATGTAGTAGGCTAGCTTACTAGAAGCAGTTGTGGTAACAGTAAATCACCTATAGTTTTTATTTATTTTCAATTTTTTCTGCCAGCAGCCGCTAAGAGGTGCTGTTTTATATCAAAAGTCAGTTTCCAGCATGAGGATTCGAGCAGCTTTCAGGAGGCGGTTTGACAGATCCCTTATATGGTCATTCTTACCATATAAGGAGTGACACACGTGACGTTGCCGTCGCAACGGAAAATATGACCGTGTGCGGGAAAGGCGAACGTTGGATTAAGGTCCTCTTTTTCAGGGAAGTAAGTGTGCAACCGCTTGGAAAGCTCTAACGAGCTGTAGCGTTTACTAACTTCTGGATAAACACATTTGACAGTCGTCAGAGTCTACACGTGAGTAGTCTAACGTCTGTGTTGATAATTATGTAAATTATATCCACGCGTGCGATCCTGAACTGTCAGGAGAGGCTACAATTTAGCTCCAATCTTAAAGTTGCTGATAGCGCCGTTAACGTTTTGTCTCTGTGGTGCAGTATTTTTGGGGAACACGTGTTGTTTGTATCTGCAGAGTTTTTACTGTAAAAGAAACAAAAAGAAGAGGCACATAAAGAAGCTAGGAGACTGACTCGCCTTTTGTTTTTCCTGACCAATAACCAGTAGCAGTAGGCTAAGGTAGGCTAATGTATTGCTCACTGGACAGTTTGTCTACGGACTCATTAAACATGCCACTTTCTCACATTGATAATCACAGGAAGGCTTATTGAATTGGCTTTCAATGAATCACATTTTAACTTCTAACACGTCCTGTCTGTTGCGACTATTTCCTTGCAGAAAAGCCAGAGCATCCATTCAAAGCAATGTGCTGCACTTCTGTACTTCTGTTATTTTTGCGACAGTAATTTTAGCTTCTGGCATGTCTTTCTTTAGCTAAAGTTGTTAGTCAAGCTGTTCCTCTGGTCCTAGGGCTGTTCCAGACACAGAGGAGTGAAGAAGAGGGGATATTGTCATAGGTTGAAAGTAGCTAACTGTACTCATTAATTCACTATTTGTAGGTACTTTCCTTGTGTATTTCCCTTTTTTGTCCAACTTCTTACATGTAATGTTAACCTTGTTGACCCTGTACAAGAAAGGAAATGCCTGGTGGGGGTCCCTTGTCACCTTTCAGATGTCGATGAATTGTTAGCAGTTCCACCAAAGAGACATTTACCCATGGAACTTCTCACATGGTGTCATAACTTTGACATAACTACAGATTTTTGTAACATGCTTTATTTTTCTTCACGACCCCTCAGATTTATCTTGTGACATATTGGAGTTTTTTTGTGGAAGACATTTTGACGTGTCACAGTAGGAGAAGCACAGGTAAATAATAACATTAATGAAGACTGACTTCCATTTTTGATGTCATGGTCCGGTATTGTGCATGCATGCTCACTGTTACTCTGTCACTGGGACCCTTGAGCTGCGCCCCGACTCGCATACTTTTAATTTTTACTTTTAGTACATTTGCAGCTGCCATTACAAGGTATGTGCAATTGCATGCATGCATTCAATTGCAACATACTACTATCCCATAACAATGCACCTTGAACGTTGACCCTATGGCTCATGTATCTCCTGCGTAGAGGATTGTGGGTCAGAATAGCCAGAGAAGCAGACTGCAGAATGTGACCGGATACAGGAGGACATCCTGGCAGTTTAGGAATGTACTGCATTAGACTCTATAAATGTTTTCCTGGCTTACTAAATAACATGGTAGTATGGGTGTTGGAACACATAGTTAAATAGATTACAGTTATTGTTTAGAGGGGCCTAATCCTGAACCACTGGACTGAACTACCCAATATGCCAGTCAAGTGTTGTGTGTATTTTACTTAAGGATTTTAAATGCAATACTATAATTTTTGATAGAGTATTTTTGTAATTGTTGTATTGGGACTCTTACAAAAATTGAATACTTTCTCCACCACTGGCTGGCTAATCTAGAGCACAACATTTTTTATCTATGCTGAAACAGGGTGTTTAACAACCACGTTGTTTAGTCTTTGGCAGAGAGCTGGCCCGCCTTCTCCAAGGTCTTATGCCATGTCCACACTACTCAGTTTCGCTACGTTTACACTGAGCGTCCACACTACGCCAGTGTTTTCGAGCACCGAAAACGGAGGAGTTTGAAAACGCTCCCGACGACTGATAAGTTTGAAAACTCCGGGTTACGTTTTCGTGTGGACGGTCGATCAGTCAGATCTGATCCAAAGTCCTTCTGAATGAAGTGTACAGACTGCTGTCCAGAAGGTGGTGCCTTACCCCAGACCTTATTTGCTCTCATCAGTTTTTAGGATTCAGATTTAGGTATAAATAATATTTATATATCTCTGTTTGTATATATATCTATGGAAAATGTCCTGCTGTGACTGCAGAGATGTCAGTTGAGTAAAAGTACATAACTACCAGCTAAATTGCACTTGAATTATACTCGCTCCAAAATCAACACTACTGTTACGTTACAGAGCCTTCAAGGTCCCGAATGATATTTTTATCAGGATAAATGTAAAGTTATTGTTGAGGCTTTCACAAGCAATACTAATTCAACTTCACTCTTATTGAATGATTTATTTTAATGTATACATTACACCCTTTAGTGACGGTGGCCCAACTTTAAGAAATCTTGGATTACAGGTCTACACATGCAGACTTCTATGAGTATTATAAGCAGTACAACACACTATATTGAATCCTATTAACATTTGTATGAGTAGTGTTGATCGAGCTTTCATTGTTGTTTCATCTTGACTTAAAGAATAGAGAGAACATTGTAATAATTTAATTTATATTGCATTAGGACACTGGTTCATTCAGCAAATCACATTTTTTAATGTTTGTAGCAATGCTGCAACAATACTGACGCCAACCTTTTCCTCTCGCTGCATTCTAAGAATTAGCTGTCGCAGCAAGTTTGTTTCAGCGTTGAAACCTTTCCGATGACAGACAACAGCACTGAGGCCATATTCTCTATTTTGTTTGGAGAATTTGGGAGCTTGGGGACTATAGGGGCAGTTTGTTGACACCTATACATGGTGGGGGAACACAGGTTTTAGCGTTCAGACCTTAATGTAGGGATTTTTTGTTTCACAGAAAACATTTAAAAGTTGTCAAGCATAATATGAAAAATTCAAATGACATTTTTACACAATTTGTTTTTGGGGAAGGTTTGCTTGATTGGACCTCATCCCCTCAGGATTTAAACAATCCTGAATATGTTCCTGCAATTAAGCGTGGCAGGATATGACACTGACTTACCATCTTTGATCTTGCACTTGTTTACATGATGATTGATCAATAGCAATAGGGAAATAGTGCATGCACATAGTACATAACAATAATACATTGTGATTGGTATATTAACTACCGTTCATGGTGTCAGAAATGTGTTTTGCGAATGTTTTTTTTTTGAGATGTGATGCAACGGCCTTCCCTTTCAGTTGGAATCTCCTCCAGGGGTTCAATGTGAACTTAAACAATAGTGTGATCCCTCTCGGTGCTCGCAACTCCAGCAGCTGTCCGGTGCATGCCGTTGCATCAATGCTTCTTTCCTCCAATAGATTTAAAGTGTGCGCCCTGGCCGACAATAGAGGGCCCGGGAGTGGGAGGATCAGCTCGGCAGCGATCCTTCTGGCTTTGTTACGACCGGGAAGCCATTTTGGAAATCTGCTTGTTGTGCACTAGCATAACACTCTGAAGCTACCAGCAAACTTTTGTTTTTTTTACCAGAAAAATACGCTTTAGGATCTGTGGGTACGCAGTAATAGATCATCTTTTGTTTTCCGTTCGTCGGGATGCTGCCAGAAGTTTGCGCATCTTCCGTGATAGTAATGCGTGGATCGTTTCCCTTTGGATTACGCTCTTTAAAACAATAATAACATACATGGAGTCTAACCACGCGGGCAAGTTGACATGCTACTATAACATCCTATGCGTTGATCTTACTACGATGTTCTGCTGTGAATGAGTCATTTCGGTTTATCCAGATTTATTTTGTCCTTGCTGCGCTCCTTTACCCACAACTAACGCAATATTAGGCCTTATTTTGCGTGATTTTCATATGCGACATCAGCAGACAATAAATATGTCTCATGTATGTCATTAAGAGTACGTGATTTGACTAAAGAAATGTAAATATAACCAGTATAAGACATGGGAATAGCGCTTCTTTGCTACAGCCTAGTGCGTTCGCGTTGCCGAAATACATGGCGTCTAAATTTATCACCGGGCAATGTGAGAACGTAACGGGGCTTATATGTCATTTGGCCGGACACTATATGCAGTTATTAATAAACTGAACGTGTGTTTTGAACGTCGCCTGTGTGAAACACTGTTGTGACAGTAGCTGGACTTAACGCACCCTGCGTAGTTTGCGTAAAGGAGCCACCAAAACAAACGTGTGAGGAGACACGCAGCACGGTGGGACAGGTGTCCCTGTGTGTGTGTGTGTGTGTGTGTGTGTGTGTGTGTGTGTGTGTGTGT